CTACAATGGGCTATTTGGATCCCGATACATCCCTGTAAACCCCTAGTTAGTTTCCATTTCACGTTCCATTCACTTTCACAATTGGTTCTCCATCTTTGGCCCTAAACCCTATTTGGATCTGGATTTGTAGGGTAAGAGCTAGCAGCACTCCTACAAAGCTCATCCTCTCTAACTCCTCCAAGAATAACCCCCCTCGATAGCTTTTCTCCCCAAGGTTCACCATGTTCGCTTGCTTAATAAACCTTTTACTCTGCTAGCTGGCATTTACACACTGATAGTGAAATTGGTAACTAAATGTGTGTGGCTTGAAGAACATGTACTGTCTGGGGGCAACGACCTTCACTGCAGGGCAAAAGATGAAGACCCAACAGCCTCCGCAACACTGAACCCTAAAACTGCTGCAAATGCATCCTTGGACAAACAGCTGCCAGCTACAGCTCAAGAACTCCGCGGATCTTCAGGAGGCCCTGCACCAGTTCAGTCAATTTTAACGTTCCAGAGCCGTCGGCATCGATCACCTCGAAGAGGTTCGCACGATCCGGCGGAAGATCCAAATCGTCCATCAGCCTTTGCACCTCGGTTGCGATGCGCTGCCTAATGGCACTTGGCCCCGCGGCAATTGAGCAAGTGGGGAAGGGATTGTTCCAGGAGTGCCCGGTAAAGTAAGTAAGGCAAGGAAAGCGCCCCCCTCTTTTACCTTCAGAAAAAAAAGGCTCACATCTGGTTGCCTGCAGCAGTATGGTGGTGAAAGCATGGAATTGGCGCGAGCTTGTTCAAGCAAGGAGTCTCTAAATGGGAAATCTGAGGCGACACTACGTCAGCCCGACGCGCACTGCTGCAACAAACACAACCTGCTGCAACGGCAAGGCACGCCATAGTCCTGAATGACCAGCAGGAAGAGCTCCTTGCTAATTTCCATGCTGTCGTTTATCTCGTCATCGGTGAAGAAGGAGGTGTGATTGATTTTCAGAGCTGCTTTACTGACCGTGGTGCTATGCTCTTTGTCGTCATCTTGGAACTGATGATGAGCTGACGCAAACTTCTTCAACAGCTCGCGTGTCACCCTTGCAATTCGGATGGACTCACGAGAGTGCTGCTCTGCTGTAGTAGCATCGTTCTCCTTTGCAGCTCTCATTGTGATGTCCACATATACCTGTGTTTCACTGAAGGCCATGGAAAAGGATGCAAAAGCTGGTTGAAAAGCTCCTAGATAGTTGCATGAGTAGGCATGCAAGAACATGGACACACTGCATCACTTGTTGCAGATCGAGGTGCTGCCAAAATTACGTTAAAGATGCCCATCGACACTAGCATGTAGCTGGCAACAAAGGGCAGCACAAAAGCCAAACCAAAATGCTCTGCAAGAAGGGCCTGAATTGGTTGCCCATGATCATTGATGCACTCGCCTGTAAAACAGCGAAATGCCGTAAACATCGACTCTGGTATGTTGGCAAAATAGCGCTGAAGGTTCTCATCCTTTGCAATCGTACTCCCGCCAATTGTGATCGTGGCAAAGCCGGAAATGACGTACAAAACAGCGAAAAGCAATGCAAAAGCCAGTGCCAAAGTTCGAATTCCAGCAATTAGGCCCTTGACCATGAGCCGCAGATCCTTCATGAACTTCACACGAAACAGCTTGACGATTCGTATCAGTCGGATCAACCGACAAAATCTGAGCAGCGAAGCGCCAAAGATATCCGTCTGACCATTGGATGCAACTTGCAAGACGATATCAGCGATCCCAGTTGCCGCTAAAAATAAATCGAACCAGTTCCAGAGGCGCTCCGGACCGCACCAGTAATTTGCGCACTTCAACAGATGCATTCGCAGAATAATCTCCAACACGATGAAGAGCGCAAAAGCCTGAGTAATATGGTTGTTTCCCAAATAGGGGGACCCCAATATAAACCCCAAAATACTATAATCCTCATTATAGGGGCCCCAAAAAGGGTACCCCTAATTTTGGGAAACCCTAAACCCTAAACCCTATATAAGCCCCATATAACCCCT